AATAAACCAATTTTTATTAAGAAAGAACTTGTGTCGCTTAAGTTTCGTCGGAACTAAGTTACGGAAAATCAATTAACAAACGGAGACGTAACAGTACATTATCTCAAGGCATGGAACCTGATTGGATATGAAATGTGGTATTACTATTTGCTCATACAACCCAATATTTTACATGTGTAGCTATCTAAGATCTAGATTACTCGAAAAGCGAAGTAATTAATTACTTTCTCGTGATGAGAATCTAGTTAGACCTTTCTCTATGATACTTAATAATGCTTTAAATTATGATTTCAGTTCTGAATAACTGCAATATGTTATAAATATGCACATAATATATGACCAGCAATACTTACTCATTGCACTTGATAGTTTTAATATTATATTTTAAGTAACGAATAACCATCCATTCTTTCTGTTTACTACTTGTTTTATGCTGTATTTCAATCGTTGCTCATGAGTCGTGGATAAATTTGTAAAAAGTAAGAAATTTAACCAATATGAAAGTATTTTAGTGTTGGGTTCTTAAACATGACATATATGGGAATTTTACAAGTTTATATTATTTTGTCTCTCCTTTGTATTTTGTCTTACTAAGGTGTCACGAAACCTTTTTGTAACAGGGGTTATAAATTATGAATTAGTAATATGATTTAACAGAAAGTTGTTTGACAGATAATCTGATTTATTATCGGTTAATATTTATCCCACCCAGTGGCACAGCGGTATGTCTGCAGACTTACAACACTAGAATCCGGGTTTCGATACCCGTGGTGGGCAGAGCACAGATAGCCCATTGTGTAGCTTTGTGCTTAATTATAAACAAACAAATACTCCCCATCCCCACCCAGTAACTCAATGGGTTTCGATACTTGTGATGGGTATAGCACAGATAGCCCATTGTAAAGCTTTGTGCTTAAAAAAACAACAACAACAAAAAAAAAGACATTAATTTTTTGAGAATAAACTTACTAGTCTGCTAGTAGATATTAATGTCCATGGTAGTGATGGGCCTTTACAACTTCTAGTTCGTAGTATCTCCACTGGAGCCAATAACCATAAGAAAATACAAGGCAACCATACTAAAATAGATTTTTGGAAACACGGTGTCAGCTCTGGTCGTTCAGAATACCAAGTAAGTTGTAGATCCTGCAAATTATGTGAATACTTTATTGCAGAGGTTTTTCTCTTGCTTTACTAGCGCATTTACATGAGACATTTTAACTCAAGAATTCTTAATAACGTACATATTACATATAACTCGAAGTTTTCAATAATCACGCAGACCTAAAACAATTTGTTTTAAACTTTTAGTGAATAAGATTTGAATTGAAGTTATATGAGGAAATTAAACAAAACATAGGTTTAGTATTTAAACTGACCTGAAGTAAAAGAATAAACTTCTTTACGATATACTTACCCACAATGGCGAAAAGCAGAATTCAGATGAAATACCAACATTTTTCATTGTAAACAAATTAGGTTTGACGCTTACGACAACAAGACTGAAGCTTTATTATTCATATATAACAATTCACTCAGTAAGTTCAAAAGTATTCGTTCGTATGATTTCAATAAAGTAATGTCTGTTACTTGTTTTGTTTTGTTATACTGTGTCAGATAGGCGTCATATCTGAAACACTTTGACACAAGGAACGACAAAATGTTATCTAAAGATCCATTGTTTACGAGTGTTACCATGTGACAGAACGAAATCTGTGAGATACAATTGTTTTGTGGACTCGCAAGAACAAGATAAACCTTTGTCCTCGTAAACGAAGTATCTGCTGATGACTTATATATGAATTACTCATTATTCAAGTAATATATTAAATTCGTTTTTATTCCATTACTTTTAATGTGGTATTGGCAGGTAAAACTTGAACTAACTGTTAAGTTATCAAATCATTATAATAAGAGATTCATTAAAGCACCTATGGGAAGTGTGAATTCGTTTGGCTTGACCCAGAAATATAGGGATCTGGACAGCAAGTAGTTTTTTCTTACTTGTTGGCTACCCTATTGTCTAACTTAAGTAATGTTACTGTGTTTGGACAATTTCAATTGAAAACAGAACACACATTAAGATTATGTGCAATATTTAGCTCGTTATGTAAATATTGTTGCCACTAGAGGTCTAGATTTTTCTATAGCTGTTATAAATACGTGCAGATAAAGAGTGCAAGTAAGAAGTTATATTAAGTTAGTGAAAGTAAAATGAAGATATACTTCGTGATTGTGAATTTAGCCGCCATGGGTGATTTATAAAGTGAAGGTTTCACAGTTTGCATTGTAACAACAGAGATAGAGAAGAATAATTCATCTTGTCAATCGGATTCTAAAGTTACTGAACCAGCCTGTATGGACTTTTGACGAAAAAAGTGAATTAGTTAAAGCTCTAGATTCAACTGTAGTAAACAGTAGTATAACGAATTTTTATACATACGTTTGACTTGTCCTGAATATATATGATATTAAAACAAGTGGATTGTATGTCTGTTTATTGTTGACATTTATCGCCAACAAGTCACAGACACCTACTTGAAAGAATGCGGACCTATACAAAAACTTGACACCAGATTTTATTAAACGATTGGAATCTGTCAGTACCAAGTCTCATTCTTTTAATGGTTGTTATTCTGAATAAATAGGTGAAGTTTCTATTGGATCAGGGGCTCTATTATGTTTAATTCACATTTTAATACATCAAGCATATATAATTCTTAATTATTTTCATGAAGAAATTCTTACAAAAGTAGTTCTCCTCTTTATTTGTTTGATAATACTGTTGCGTCAGCAGAGTTCACTTGACTGGTATCACACCACGTCGTTCTCGAACATTCACGTCCTTTCCTTAAACCTCGGGATCCATCTAGATATAGTGTAGTCTTGTATATATGAGACCGGCCAAGAGCGACGGGGAGAAGGCGTGTATGTGTGTAATTGAACTGAGTATTGTTGAAGTCAAGCAAGTGAGACGTTTGTTGAGAATTGTAGCGTTTGTTATAGGGCGACTGTTGAAATTAAGTGTATCGCAAAGTTATATTCAGAAAGAATAAACCAGTTTTATTTAAGAAAGGACTTGTGTCGCTAAAGTTTCGTCGGAACGAATTTACGGAAAATTAGCTAACGAACGGAGACGTAACAATACTATAAAGATTCATTTAAACTTTGGAGATGTTTTATACCTTTTTTGTCCAGCATGGATGATAAAAGACAGCATTGCTAAAGCTATTGGTTAATCAGACACTCGAATAATCGTGGGTATCGGGAATTATCAGTTGTTAGGGGTACTTTTCTGTAGATAATATTGGGTGTGAGAACACTAGAAGGCCTTATAAATGCCATTTGAACAGTGTATTGAGTTATGACTCCATCTCCAGGAGTGACAGTAAGGGAGGGCTTGATGGTGCTGAAGCTACCCTAAAATGGACCTTAGTCCCTCCCCTGTAGCTCTCACACCCAGCAAACAATGTTAACTGTTAAATCTAGCTCATTTCCTAAATCCTGCAGTAAATATGCCCAAAAGATGTAGAGTATGGTCCCCTCGTTGGAAAGAGGCTTCTGCTGCCACTGAATTTTAGAGCAAGTCATGGCTGTAATCAATTAGTTATAACCCTTTTCAACCTATGTATCTAGTTGAACTTTGAATGAAATATAACTTACAAGGCATTGCAATTTCAATCTGATCTTTTACTATTTCACATCGACATTCTATCTAGCTCTTTTTTCAGTCAGTTAGTGATTATCTTGTCTTGTTTTTGAACCTTAGTATCCTGAACTACATAATTTATCATTACTTTGATTAAACTTGTTTTATACAGGGTCTCTTTTACAGTGAATGAATGCACTGTACTGTTGAACTTAGTGTCTCGGGAAATGGCCTGATGTTCTCAGTGACTGAGTCAACAGATGATGATGATGCATCGGTAATCAATGCATTAAACATGAAAGAGATCACTGTGTCTGTCATTGATTTGTCCCAGCAGCCTCCAAGGGCTGAGCAGCCCCATTCTGCAGTAGAAGGTCTTGTGGAAATCAATCCTCCATTGGATATACTGGTCACCAAGGGAATAATGATGCTGATCGCCCCATCATTTTTAGAGGAGCCAAGCCTCCAAATGTACCACCTACTATCCATGCTACCTCTCGTGATCCACTAAAGGAGGAGCCAGTGCTGATAAGGAACTGCTAACATGATACTATTAGAGGTAGGCCTAGCATTAGAGGCCACATTAAAGACAAAACGCATACTACAAGTCAAACCAGTAACATACTGAACAACCACACAAGTTTCTAAGCACTCTCCAAAGTATCACAAAAAGAACAATGACGTATGAAACGAAATTTACCTAAAGAAATCAAATCATAATGAGATAGTACAATTTACACAGGCAAAGATTCTGATAGCTGAGAAAGCTCTCACGAGGAAAGCAACTGCAGCAACCCAAGCTTTAACTCATAAAACACTGACACCTACAAAGATGCACAGAACGCAACTCAACAACATGTGATTAACGTGGACACAACGACTAATACACAAGAGAAGAACACAAACTTAGATAAAGAACAAGTATTCACAAAGGTAATAAAAAACACACACAAGACAAAACAAATAAACGTAGGAAACAACAGAAAACACACAAACAGCAACAAAAACAACTGAATCCACGACCAAACCAAAACACACCATAATAATCAAAGATGTTCCTGCTCAATTCAGAGAACCACAACTAGTGGCTGAAATAAAAGGATGGAAGCCTAACGCAAAATACCTCTTATAAAAAAAGGTTAGCTAATGGAGGAGCTTAGTTCGGGGTTAAGAACCTCATGGCCTCAACATACTTCATAAAAATGGCCTCAAGACGTCTTCCAGCTCGGAAGGATATGAATACACCTACCAGTATGCGGCCCACAACAAAAAGCCTTTGTTATCAGAGAACGAGCATGTTAAGTTGCCTACTGACTGATCTAGAAATTAACACAAAATTAGGAACAAATAATCTCGGTCAAAACAAATGCACCAACCAATGGTGTATCCAGGAATTTGAAAGGGGCAATTATTAACATTTATATTTATTATTATAATATTTAAACTTTATTATTTCTTTTACATTGGTTTAATGAGTGTTATAAGATGCCAATAACATGCCACTTTATTGACGTCAATCAGCTACCGCGAATCGCGACTACGCTGCAGTTGGAATTTTGGAAACCATGAATAGGATTTTGAGTGAGTTAGATGTAAGTTGAAGCTAAAGAGCATAAAACTGTGAAAATTTACAAAGCGAAATTAGACATTGCAAGGAAGAACTGGTGAAAAATTAAAATACAGGCCGAAGGGGGCATGATCGCATGCCCCACTCTGCCAAAGTCAGTGGCACCAACACACCTATTTAAAGTAACCACAGAAAACACAAAGAACATGCAACAACACATTTAAAATGAAATTGTCATGTGGTATCAGAAATACAACATCAAAAGGCAAAAACACCGACAGTAGTCGTAACACAGTGCTTCAATTGTCAAAGATTTGGACATGTGGCTGCCGCATTGGCCCAGTACGAAATCCAGAGTCTGACCAGACAGAGATTGATATGTGGTTCCCCCTTTCTAGGTGATAAAGCTGATGATAGTGGAATTGCAGTAAAAACCGAAACCATGCTTCCCTGCAGGAAGGGGAGGAAAGGATACAGAGCCCAATGAACTGCCAACGTACCAGGATGTAGATATGAAGAGCAGATCCCTTGACTGACCACCATTTCGAAAACTCAGGGGAATCAAGGAAAAAAGGATGGTCCAAGGGATCATGAGGGAAGTTCCACTGGTTGAGAAATATCCAATGAAGAGAATGCATGTGTCTGACCAAAGGGAATGAGCAGTTTCAAGGAAAACCACATCCCAAAAGAGAAAGAACCTCACGGACATGAAGAGAAGGAAAAGGGATGGCAAGCGTGATTGTCCACTCGATATCCTGGAGCCAAAGTTGCGAAGGCTGGGCTCGATCAAAAAAGGGAGCGAAGAGAACCTCGAAATGAATAAGATACTGTGAGGGAGTAGTAATGGACTTCTCAAAGCAGAAACCCACCTAACAAGCTTCTCAAAGAAGGAAGCAGGTGTGAGTGATTGACCGGTAATAGGTAGGAGGCAAGGAGAAGCCAGTTGTCCATTAAATATGAGTCTGAAGACCCATTGGCATTATTTAATAGTAGTAATTGTGCCATGTTATAGCTAGGATGTAGAAAACTCCAATTATTATTTGTTTTGTGGAACACTTTAAAGTCTCTTGAGGGTTGGTCTTAAGCTAAATGAAGTTCCAGCCAAGTGAGATAATACCGGCATCTGTAGATGTATTAAAAACTTCAATTTTAATGCAGGAGATATCAAAAAATTGACAAGGTTTGTACAGTTTCAAGGAATGTTTATGAATTATTTTTCAACTACTTTGTAATTTTACACTATAGCCTGTTACATCCTAAGTTACTTTATCCCATACATAATGTTTTCACATCATGTTTACAGTTAAATGTATACAATAAGAATTTTTTTCAAGATTTTTATTTCATGATGAAATAAATATGTAATACTATCGACTGTTTCCTAAACAGAGTAACTAAG